AAGAGCAGCCGCCACTGGGAAAGAGCTAAATTCCTTTCTCTTTTCTTTTCTTTTTCTCTTTTCTCCTGTTTTCTCTTGCAGTTACGGAGAAGGAGGTGCAGCAGTGGTGAGTGTCCGGCGCGGTGGCGTGGGGGGGAGCTGCCGGGGCGCGGGGCTGGCGGGCGAAGGGGCAGGAGCTGGCGGCGCTCAGCAACCCCACTGTCCGTGCAGAGCAAGGGGGTGCAGGAGGGTGCGCCTGTTTTGGGGTGCAGGTGTTAGCTCATAGAGGGGAGACCAGAAAACAGAGGGGGTTTTCTTGCACACCTCGTGCACGGTGCACGGTGGGGCTTGGCTCCGGCTGCTCTCGGCTGCCCGTGTGGGACTGTGCACCCTCCCTCTCGCCTCTTCCCTCCCCATATGGGCGGTTGAGGGGAGCGGGGATGTGAGGACTGTCCAGCTGGTGGCCGTGGCGCTGGCTGCGGGAAGCCAGTGCTGTCCCAGCGTGTCCCCATTTGCAGTGGGGCCCACAGAGGCTGGCAGGGGCCGGGGCCGTGATGCCTTGCCGGCAGCACGCTCTCACCCCATCCCCTCCGCCCCACCGAATGCGATGCCCTAGAAAAGCCACCGCTTCCCTTTCATCTTCCTATCCCACCAGTCAAGGTTTGCTTTCTTTATCTATTTCCCTCATCCCTTCCCCCCCATCCCGATGAGTCATAGCTGCAGCAGCGTGAAAAAGATGTCACTGGCACTTCGGTTTCCCACCTCGCCACCTCCTTCCCCTCCTCCTCCAGCCCTCGGCCCGCTGCAGCGGGCGCCTGACAGATCTGGGCAACGCGTTGCATAATGCTCACGCACCCTGCGTGGTCCCTGCATGGTCCCCACGTGGTCCCCGCACCCACAGAGCCAGCGAGCCCTTTCCCCTGCACCCTCTGGGTGGCACTTTGCAGCATCCAGGTCCAGCCCAGAGCTGGGATCAAGGCCTTTGGGGGTGTTTAAGCACCGATGGGTTTTGGGAGATGCCCTGGCCTGTGCCGCCCCGAGGATGCAGTAACCTCACTGTGCCCCCCCCAGCTCCTCCGAGCAGCTTTCACTTGGGATCGTGCAAAAAATGCCGTCGTGGAGCCTTGGCTGCCCCGGGTGCTTCAGGCCGCCGTGCTGTTGGTTTTTACCAGGGCACGGCTGCAGCATGTGCGTGCCGAGCGGTGGGTTGCAAATTGCCTGTGGGGTTGCTGTCGATGGTGAGTCCCTCCCCCGCGGTGGTGCAGCGACTCGGGGGAAGCTTTCCCGGCCGCCTCCGTGATGGAGAGACGGTCGGATGCGCCTGATGTAGCGGGGCCAAGCCGCAGTGGTGGAGGGGAAGGGGGGCTCTGGCCCTTGGGTGGGTGAAGCTTTCCATTTGCAGCTTCTTGCTTGGGAGCCGCGTGCATCCGAAGTTCTGAGCCAAGGGATATAAACACTCTCCTGCCGGCCCCGTGACAGCTTCAGGGCCGAGCGAGGCATCGCCTGCCCCAGCACCTCTGCCTGCAGCGTGGCCGTGCTGGCGGGAGGTGACTCTGTGCAGAGGGCTTTTTATTTTAAAGGAGGTTTAAAAGACTCTCCTGGGTGCTCCTGGCCGGGCAGTGGGTCCCTGTCCCCTCCCAGGTCCTGGACAGTGTTCAACAGGAGCCTGGTTGTAGCTCAGTTGCCGCTTCTGGGCTCGCAGCGAGGTTGGAGCAGTGTGGTGGGCGCCGCTTGGTGTCACTGGTGCCGCTCGCTGCTTCTCCAGGCTCTCCCCGCTGCCACCCTTGCTGCAGTGCCTGCAGGGACCTCGTCCTGCAGAGCTGGGAGGGTGCAGGCGGGTGATGGGGGCGACACCGGGAGCACCCTGGGACCTTCCCGGCTCCAGCCCACCGTGGCGCCAGGGAGAGCCTCATCCCGGCTCCCCAGGGCTTGGGGGGGCTGCGTTCAGCGGGGAGACCCACCTGGTGCCCATCCTCTGCCCTTCCTCCGCAGGTACAAGGGCTTTATCAAGGACTGCCCCAGCGGCCAGCTCGATGCCGCCGGCTTTCAGAAGATCTATAAGCAGTTCTTCCCCTTCGGCGACCCAACCAAATTCGCCACCTTTGTTTTCAATGTCTTCGATGAGAACAAAGTAAGTCTGCGAGCTCGGGGCACGGTCCGGGGGGGTCGGGGCCCATGGCGATGGTGGGACGGGTTCAGTAACGCGACTGTGCGGCGCTGGAGGAGCAAAATGTTCCAGCACTTCCTGGGGCATGAAGTTAAAGCGGCGCAGCTGTAGCGAGCGAGCCCCCACGCTTATTTTAGTCGATGAGAGTCATGTGGGAAAAGGCGATGAAGTGGCAAGCGAGAGAGGAGAGATGCGATGTTTCGGTGCCACTGACAAAAGCCCACCCGCGCGGTGCCCCCCCTGCTCCGGAGTTGCTCCCGCCGGCATGCTCGCCGGTGGGCTGGACACAGCGGCCGGATCACACTGCTGGAGATAAATGTGCATCGCTCCTCCCTCCCCATTGCCTTTTCGGATGTGCCCCCTAAGAGCACCCGACGTCGGGCATGCATGGGCAGGGAGGACATTGCGGGGCGGGGGTGGCAGCGGCACCCTCACCCCCTCCTTCCCTCCCCCAGGACGGGAGGATCGAGTTTTCGGAGTTCATCCAGGCGCTGTCGGTCACCTCCCGGGGGACACTGGATGAGAAGCTGAGGTGTAAGTGCTCCCGGCGGGATGCGGGTGGGCTCAG